AGCCCCAGGCCCCAGCCTCTGCAGGGCAGCTGTCTCCACGCCATGTCTCGTGCCCGTGTGTGCTGGGGATGCCTGCGGTCCCTGAGAAACGCTGAGTGGGAGCACCATGAAATATTGATACTGTAAACCTAAAATAACTAAACCTGCCATCCTGCGCTGCAGCCGTCCCCAAATTAGGTGAGATTCAAGCATAGGCAGCAGCAGCAGGCACGGGAGGAGAGAATGGTGGAAAAACACTGAAAGCATGCAGTGTGTTCTATGTACCGCTTTCTGACAGTCGGAGAAAGGCTTGGGTTGGATTTTGAGGACAGGGTGCCTGGATGCAGCTATCTGAGGACTGGCGCCTTCCCTCAGCCCTGGGGGCCCCTCCTCTGGACTGGCCTGCGGGGTCTGAGACAAACCCCCTTCACAGCAGGTGGCTCCTGGGGCAGGCAGCCTGACCAGGAGGAACAGAGCTCTGCACCTCCTAGCCTGTGGCCTGGGCCTAGGGCAAGTGAATTCTCTTTTTGGAGCCTGTTTTTCTCATCTGTAAGATGGGTAAGAAATGCTTGTTTTGAATGCTGGTGTGAGGGTTTCTGAGACAATGTGCATAAAACCTAACACCTGGCACATAACAGGAGTGCGTCCAATGTTAGCCCCTTTTCTGAAGAGGGTGTCTGTCTTGGGTGGGCCTGGCTGGGTACTGTGGAGGAGGCACGCCCCACCCTCACGGGCTTCCAGTTGCTGCCCTATGGGACAGAGCCACTCTCCAAGGCCACCATGGGTGATCCCATGCCCCTTCCTTCTCCACCAGTCACCCTCCCCACCCTGAGCCCCTACAGGGACAGCCCGAATGTGAGGCCGCAGTCAGGGGAGACAGCCAGCCTGGGGCCACCCTCATATAGATCCTTCCCAGCCTGAGTGAAACTGCGGTTTGGGGCCTGAGCCCCCTACTCCCATTTATCCCTTAACCAGGATCGATAATGTTGACTTTTCAGCTGGAGAAAGTCCAGTTTCTGTTGTCATCTCCCTTGGGGACCCTGGAATGTAGCCCCTCATTGTGCAGTGGGGGAAACAGGCCAGAGAGGGCAGGTGTCACCCCAGGTCACACAGTGGGCTGGCCCTATCTGCCCAGGGGCACGAGTGAGGGTGTGGCTGGGGGCTGGTGGCCTGTCCCTCCCCACTGCGAGGGCAGCTCAGAGCCCGGGTCTCGCCCTCTGCAGCACAGTCTGATGCCCGGCTCCCCCCACTGCTCGGGGCCTGGGGAGGACTCAGGCTGCTGCCAGGGCTGTGCGCCATGCCCTGGGCATGTTCTCCTCTGCCTGCCCACCTGCCTGCCTTTGATGTTTATTTCCTTTGTATTTATTGGTTCAATTTTTAAACTCTTGCCATTGTGCGAAACCCTTCAGGGGGCAAGGATCCAAAATAAAACGCTGATTAAAATGCATAAAACACCTCTTCTTGGCAATTGCAGGAGTAGCCAGCAGGATTAATGATGCCAGGATGGCGGGAGCAGCACGTAGTCCACTCAGCAGTTTGGGTGAGCCCTCAGACATGACCCCACCAGCAGCCCTAGATGACAGGGACCCCATGGGGATGTGAGACCAGGAGGCTAGGCCCAACATGCTGTGCTCTTGCTGTGCCAGCTTGGGCAGGCATCCGAGCCTCTCCAGGCCTCAGTTTCCCTGCCTGTCAGAACAGCCACATATAAAAGGCAGGGGATGAAGCAGTTTAGAGGATGTGCCTTCCTAGAGCTATCCTGGTCCCATGGAGCATGGCACATTACTCACTTTCTAGGTCTAACTGCCAGGCTTGTGGGTGACAGCTGCACAGGGCTAGGCTGCCCAGCTTTTTTACCAAGTTATTTAAATCCCCCAGGTCTCATTGCTCAGTGGGCCTGCTCCAGGGTCAGCCCCATCAGAGGGGCTTCCACCCTTGCCAAAAGTCACTCATGCACATATATTTCCTTTCAAAGAACATTCAATAGGGTCTGTTCGGTGCCGTACTTTGCTCTGAGGCTGCAAACACACTCTCTGCCCTTGGGCACAGCACTCCGTAGCAAGTGAAATAAATGCATCCATGACTGACCCTGGACGAAACATACATTGAAGGAGAGGTGCCAAGTGCTGAGATGTTGAAGCATGTTTCCCTCTTTGCTCAGGTCACTAGGAAGCTCTCACCTTTAGTCATTATGCAGGAATTTGTGGCATTCCTTCCTGACTGGCTTCCCTTCTTTAGCTTTTATCTTTTTATTTTCTTATAGCATAATTTTTCTGTCAAGTTGCTCAAACCACTTTTGGAATGAGATGTGCTATATGCCAATTGCATGATATCACTACTAATAAGAATAAAGTAGATTTAGGATGGCCACCTAGCTCAGCTGGTTACAACATGATGCTGATAACACCAAGATCTAAGGTTTAATCCCTGCACCAGCCGGCTGCTGGTTGTGGGAAAGTGATGATACTGACTGAGTAAATCAAGGATGGCTTCATGGAGGAGGCAGCCTTTGGGGTGGAAGGCTACAAAGGCTGCTGGGGCAGGAGGCTGTGACAGTTCTCCCAAAGGAGATGGCTTAGAGGCAGGAATGTACAGGACAAGGTGGGAATACCTGGCTGGCTTGGCTGGGGGGGAGTGGTGGGAGAGGAGGTAGGTGGGTAGTTTCAGGCCAGGTGGTGGAGACTTCAAATGCCACATTCATGTCTGTATGGGGAGCTTGCCAGCATCTCAGAGTGGCCCCTGTCCTCACTCTGCCCCTCGCATTCCTCAGCCTTCTCTCCAGCAGCTCCCACTCCGCCCGCCAGCCTAGCCCCGAGCTGGATGCTAAAAGTCCTGTTTACCTCTCGAGGTCTCCAGCCTCACACCCGCGCCAGCCCCAGCTGCTGGCCCAATTACTTATTGATCGCCTGTCAGGATGTTTGCTTTTCTGGTGGGTCAGTGGAGCGTGTGTGACTGGAAAATAGCCTGGTGGATGTGGGGTGGGGACAGGCTGAACTGCAGAAGAGTCTGGAGAGAGGATGAGAGGGGATCACAAAGCCCTTGGGGATCACAAAAGCCTTGCAGATTCCAGAACATGTCAGGGACACCCAGAGTCCACTCTGGTTAATCAGTCGCTCAGTCAGTCAATAACCAGGAAGTGCCTGTCAGTCCTGGGAGACTGGCAGAGCATTCAAAAGTGTGTGGCATCGCTGGAGTCTGACAGACCAGAGCTCCTGTGCCAAATCCACCCCCTTCACCAGCTGGGTGTCCTTTAGCAGCCACAGCCTCTTGGAGCCTCAGTTGCCTTAATGGTTGACGTATGGATGACAAGTGTGGGTGACCTGTGGCCTTGAAAGCAGAGGCTGTGTGGAGGCATGGAGAGCGGTAGGAGGTGTGGGCAAAGGACCTGAGCTGGGGCAGAGATGGGACATCACCCTGGGCCTCCCCTTCCCGCAATGAGTCCCCTCAGGGCTGTGAGTGTAGGGCGTGGAGAGGGCTGCAGTTTGACCCCCAGGGACCACGGGGTCCATCCCCTGGAGCTTGGAGGCAGTAACTCCTAGAGACTGGGCCAGCCCTCCCAGCCCCCTGCTCACCCTGCTTGCCTGGCTGTTTCCCAAGGAGGTGGACAGGGAGAGGGGAGGGATGGAGGAGATGGGGAGGCAGCCTGGGGCAGAAGTGGGAACAAAAGGCCTGCGAACACAGGATGGGAGAGAGTGATAGTTCCCACACCCCCTTGTTCCTTGCACCTGCAGCCTGTACTCACCTGGACCCCTCCCAGAACCATCTCTCTCAGCACCACCACCCGAGTCCTGAATTTCTTCAGGAACAAGCCCAGCTTGAACAAGCCTCACATCCTCAGTGTCCCCAGTGCCTTGAAGTAGACTGGCACCTCCAGGGTTGCCCGTGCCATCCTGGGCTGTGAAAGTCTGCCTGCTCCCCCCTCAGACTAGCTGCTGCAAGGAACCTTGGTACTAGGCAGAAGGTGATGGGAACCCTGAGAGACAGACGGATGGAGGCTAGAGGGTCTTTTGAGGGGGAGTGCACTTTCTATTGGGGATCAGAAAAAGCTTTTAAGAGCAGTGGATTTAAATTAGGCCTTGAAGATGGGATTTCAATAGGCAGGGGAAGGAAAGAACTGCAGGAGCCAAGGCCAGGAGGTAGGAAAACATGGTCCTGGTCCCTGAGCCCAGGAGTCTGAGCTGGGTCACTGATGGGACCCAGAGGAAGGGAAGAATCCGAGAGATTCACAGGGAGGCCAGGTAGGGATTTGCAGGTGCAGGGGGAGGCATGGATGGAGGTTTCAGGGCTGGGCTTTCTGGATGGGGGTGCCCTCTACCATCTAGGAACCCCATCAGGGAGGAGATTTGTGAACATGACCCTGTACCATTGGGCTTGCCGACTGCCCAGGACTCCTGGGCTGTGGGCTCAGCTGCAGTGCTGGTAGGAGGCGGTGTGGTATCTGCAGCTGGGAAAGCTCAGGGCTAAAAGCCAAGAGCATGGGATCCCCAACAGCCTCAGAAGCCCTTGCCCAGCAGGCTGGAGGCCAGACATGCTCCTGCTCGTTGCTACTCTCCCAGAGGCCTCGGCCCTTGAGCCCCTTTGATCCCCTCTGTGAGCCCCAGGACAACTCTGCAGGTCTGGATTTATCCCTGATGAGCACAGAGGGAACTGAGACTCAGGGCAGCGTGCATGCCTGGAGTCACACTGCCTGGGAAATGTAAAGGCAGTGGCGCCAACACTGGCTCCTCTGAGATGACCCCACCCCTTCCCTGTACCTCCTCCATCCCAGAGGTGCTGGGAGGGTCCTTTGGGAAGAAACAAGGGGGAAGCAGCAGGGGGTGGCAGGAGGCCCTCTGGCCTGGGCATCTGGACCTCACTGCAGAGTCCCAAGAAAATGTCATATACCACTTTGGACCCCCGCCTCCCTATCTGTGTCTGGGACATCCTGATGAGGCAGAAGTGCTGGGGGGTACAGAGGGCTTAGGGTGAGGTCCAGCCATACACTGTCCTCTAACTACCACCCCTGTCCTGTGCTTGCTCCTGGCTGCAGGTGAGCGAGAGGATGCTGGTGGGGGGTGTGAGGAGCATGCCCAGCCCCATCCTGGCCTGCTGGCAGCCCATCCTCCTGCTAGTGCTGGGCTCCGTGCTGTCAGGCTCGGCCACAGGCTGCCCACCCCGCTGCGAGTGCTCTGCCCAGGACCGCGCTGTGCTGTGCCACCGCAAGCGCTTTGTGGCTGTGCCTGAGGGCATCCCCACCGAGACTCGCCTGCTGGATCTGGGCAAGAACCGCATCAAAACTCTCAACCAGGACGAGTTTGCCAGCTTCCCTCACCTGGAGGAGCTGGAACTCAACGAGAACATTGTGAGCGCCGTGGAACCCGGCGCCTTCAACAACCTCTTCAACCTCCGGACGCTGGGTCTCCGCAGCAATCGCTTGAAGCTCATCCCCCTAGGCGTCTTCACTGGCCTCAGTAACCTGACCAAGCTGGACATCAGCGAGAACAAGATCGTCATCCTGCTAGACTACATGTTCCAGGACCTGTACAACCTCAAGTCACTGGAGGTCGGTGACAACGACCTCGTCTACATCTCCCACCGCGCCTTCAGCGGCCTCAACAGCCTGGAGCAGCTGACGTTGGAGAAATGCAACCTGACCTCCATCCCCACCGAGGCGCTGTCCCACCTGCATGGCCTCATCGTCCTGAGGCTCCGGCACCTCAACATCAATGCCATCCGGGACTATTCCTTCAAGAGGTTGTACCGACTCAAGGTCTTGGAGATCTCCCACTGGCCCTACTTGGATACCATGACACCCAACTGCCTCTATGGCCTCAACCTGACGTCCCTGTCCATCACGCACTGCAATCTGACCGCCGTGCCCTACCTGGCCGTGCGCCACCTGGTCTATCTCCGCTTCCTCAACCTCTCCTACAACCCCATCAGCATCATTGAGGGCTCCATGCTGCACGAGCTGCTGCGGCTGCAGGAGATCCAGCTGGTGGGTGGGCAGCTGGCCGTGGTGGAGCCCTATGCCTTCCGTGGCCTCAACTACCTGCGTGTGCTCAACGTCTCCGGCAACCAGCTGACCACACTGGAGGAATCAGCCTTCCACTCGGTGGGCAACCTGGAGACGCTCATTCTGGACTCCAACCCGCTGGCCTGCGACTGCCGGCTCCTGTGGGTGTTCCGGCGCCGCTGGCGGCTCAACTTCAACCGGCAGCAGCCCACCTGTGCCACTCCTGAGTTCGTCCAGGGCAAGGAGTTCAAGGACTTCCCTGATGTGCTCCTGCCCAACTACTTCACCTGCCGCCGCGCCCGCATCCGGGACCGCAAGGCCCAGCAGGTGTTTGTGGATGAGGGCCACACGGTGCAGTTTGTGTGCAGGGCAGATGGCGACCCACCCCCTGCCATCCTCTGGCTCTCGCCCCGCAAGCACCTGGTCTCAGCCAAGAGCAATGGGCGGCTCACGGTCTTCCCTGATGGCACGCTGGAGGTGCGCTACGCCCAGGTGCAGGACAATGGCACGTACTTGTGCATCGCAGCCAACGCGGGCGGCAACGACTCCATGCCTGCCCACCTGCATGTGCGCAGCTACTCTCCCGACTGGCCCCATCAGCCCAACAAGACCTTCGCCTTCATCTCCAACCAGCCGGGCGAAGGAGAGGCCAACAGCACCCGTGCCACCGTGCCTTTTCCCTTCGACATCAAGACCCTCATCATCGCCACCACCATGGGCTTCATCTCTTTCCTGGGCGTCGTACTCTTCTGCCTGGTGCTGCTATTTCTCTGGAGCCGGGGCAAGGGCAACACGAAGCACAACATCGAGATCGAGTATGTGCCCAGAAAGTCGGACGCAGGCATCAGCTCTGCCGACGCACCCCGCAAGTTCAACATGAAGATGATATGAGGACAGGGCGGGGGGCAGGGACCCCGGGCGTGCCAGGCAGGGGAAGGGGCCTGGCCGCCACAACTTACTCCCCAGTTCCTCCCGCCCCCTCCACACACACTCTTTTTCTCCCAGCCACCCCTGTCCTCTGCTGCCCCCCGCCAGCCCTCACCACCTGCCCTCTTTCTACCAGGACCTCAGAAGTCCAGGCCTGGGGACCCCACCTGCACAGGGGCGTGTGTTGACAGACTTCAGTTGAAAGCCAATGAACCGACATGCGGCAGTCAATAATTCAATAAAAAAAAGTTACGAACTTCTTCTGTAACTTGGGTTTCAATAAGTATGGATTTTTATGAAAACTTGAAATAATAAAAAGAAAAAAAAAACTATTTCCTATAGCTAGTCGGAATGCAAACTTTTGACGTCCTGATTGCTCCAGGGCCCTCTTCCAACTCAGTTTCTTGTTTTTCTCTTCCTCCTCCTCCTCTTCTTCCTCCTTTCTCTTCTCTTCCCCTGTGGGGGGGGATCACTCAGGAAAACAGGAAAGGAGGTTCCAGCCCCAGCTGCCCACCCACCCTGCCCAGGTCTGGGTTGGCTGTTTGCAGGGAGCAGGTGGAGGGCCCGGCTGCTGGGCTTCCAGGCAGCACTACTGCCAGGGGGTGGAGGGCCTGGCTAGGGTGTGGCTGAGACTCTGGATAGGGGCTGGGTCCTCCTGGGGGACAGCACAGTCAGTGGAGAGAGTCAGAGGCCAGAGGCGGTACTGAGATCTAGCTTCTGGTCCCCGCTCTGCCAGTGACTTGATGTGTGGCCTAAAGTGGGTCACTGGCCCTCTCTAGGCCTCAGTCTCCACATCTGTACAAATGGGAACATTACCCCCTGCCCTGCCTACCTCACAGGGCTGTTGTGAGGAATTGATGAGATGATGTATGTGAAACACTTTGTAACCTGTAAAGCGCTGTGCACATGTGTGGGTGACTGTTCTCATTATGGTCATTTTATTTTACTGTGGGGGATGGACTGCTGAATGGCCTCCATGGGGGCAGGGCTGGAGGGGGGGGTACCAGGGGAAGGGGCAGTTCCAGGGACTCCAGAGGCTCTTCCTAGGACCACAGCCCAGGCTGTGGCTGGAAGATTGGCTGGAGAGATGGGGTTCTAGAGCCATAGGGGAGTCCTGAGGCCCGCAAATGGGACAGTCTAATGACTCTGGTCTGGGAGCCCCCGAGGCAGAAGTCCCCTCCAGCTTTGGCCTGGCCTATGCAGGGATTGGGTGCACCACCTCTCTCCAAGCCTTCCCACAAGCATTTATTGCGCACCTGTTGTATGCCACTTTCCATGTAGGATGCCCAGTCTGTGGGAGCTGGGGGAGGCAGTTCTGGGGCTGCCCTTGAGATTGCCCGGGCCCAGCGCACCACCCCAGCTGTGCCCCGTCTTCCACCAGGCCATAGTCTGGGCCTATTCTGGGCTTTTAGGAATCTGGGTTTGAGACTAGGATCCACCTACACATGAGTGGACCAGGAGGGTCAGACAATAGCCCCACACCTCAGCCATGCCCATCCCAACCAAACCCAAGTGCTCCTAAGTCAATCCTGGAGGGGGATGCCCCAGATGACAGAGTGTGAAGAGCCAGGTCACCTTGTAACTTTCTCAGAACCAATGGGCCTTGGCTCAAGCTGGGCCAGTAGCTCGGCCAGCAGAGCACGTGCTCACCTCCTTCCCTCATCTCTGTCAGGCAGGGAGGGGCACTAGGGTCCTCAAGCTAGGGGAGAACTCCACCGATGCAGGAACCGATGACTCTGCTGAATGTGGGAGGGGGAAGCAATAGCAAAGTCAACCCTCAGCAACAAGACACGTCCAGAATGCAGCTCCTCCAATCAGGGCTCTCCCTGGAGCTCACACACACCCCCACCCCCAAGCCAGCATGAACTAGGTAGCTGTGCACCTAGCACCTTTCTAAACCAAGCCTCTGGCGGGATGGCATGGTGGGCAGAGTCTGGTGTGGAGTCGGCACCATTCATTTACTCGTTCATTCATGCGTTCAATCTACA